TCATTATCTCATACATATTAGTGTAGGACAAGGGAAAAGAGACCAATCCTTTCTCTTCTTTGCATTTATAATTTATTGTGTGGTTCCCTTTTATAGTCTCGATTTTTTCATCTTAATACCTGTTAATTGCTTATAAAGGTCCCATATGGAAGAAGATATTTTTCTAGGAGCCATGAAGCTATAGAAAGTGAAATGAGATTTGGGTATAATACAAGCAAAAAACTCAAAAGTCTCCATTCTTGAAGGAGACACTTCCGCCAATTTCTTAGTTAGAGTACATCTATAATTTGAACCATGTGTATATTAGTAGGAATTAAAACTAAAAGTCCCAAACCTTAGAATGATGGGCTTAGAAAACTTTCTAATTATTTTGAGCTCTGAGTATCCATTTTCCTTCTAAGAATTTTTTTATGAAATGGGGATTTTCTAATCTTCAAATGTCCTTGAGTTTTAATCCTTCATTGAATATCTCTCAAATTTTTCAAGGATGAAGGGGAAACAGGAATTCTAGTAAATTAATACAATGCACCTATTCTTAAATATGATAATCAGTTCTATTACTTAATGTGGCTCTAGGCATATCTAAAACTTTGATACATGGGAGAGGAAGACTCTAATTTCTGCAATCAGACCAATTCAATTATTTGGGTTGTAGGTAATCTCTTCTTGAAATTCCTATAATTAACATCATCTAATTTCAATAACTAAGGGTATAGGTGACCTTAACTTCCTGTTTTAGAATTAAGGGGGCTGCTATTATCCCTCATGAACTGCATTTTAAAATTGAAATTTTGAATCCTGCAACCAACCAGGCTATATATAGCTTTTTTTTTAGTTTTTTGATCAACAACTCTGAAATGATTTCATTAATTAGAAAATTTATAAATATAAAAAGAAGTTGTGAAAGAAACCATCTTTATTAAGCTGACCCAAAACCATCTTTCCTCTCTTTCATTATTTTATCTCTCAAATATGTAAAGGACAACAACTAGCCAAGTTAACTTTAGCAAGGTTGTAGGCAATTTTCACCTAGATTTTCTCCTTCCATATCTATCTTCTTTTATTTCTAGAAGACTGTAACCATCCAAATCATTTGGCAAGATTGTAGACAATGTTAATTTTCTACAACCAGCCAAATACCTCATTGAATGTCTCATAATGTTAATTTTCTTCATTTCAGGTTATTGTTCTAGTGGCTCATAAGCTAGCAAACCAATGGTTTTGAAGATCTTATAATAATAGAATGATGGAATCATTTATATGAGGGGTTTGCCACATGGGTATAATGACAAAATATTTTACCTCTATTACAATCCTAGATACGGAAGACTTATAAATATCATATGATTCAATATTTGAGACTTATAAAACAGTTCCTATAGGAGTTAAGTCAAACAAGAGCATTAGAGCTTTGAACATTGAATGTTAAAACCTAAAAGGAAGGCTTTTAAAGATTGACATTCCAGGGTAAACTCATATTAAGATGCTATTATATTAATTTGTTAATTTGAGGAATTTCAGAAGCTATAGCTAGCCAATTTGAAGCAGCCTGAACAACAAAAGCAATCTGGCCAAATTTCTATAACTAATTTTACTTTTTCAGCCTAAATTATTTACTATTAATAAAATTAAATGTAATTATAATAAATTAATGTAATTTTGGTTAATTATATTATTTTTAAAAACCATTTGTTGTTAATTAATGTAAAACCAGGTATGAATAGTCAACCAAGTGCTCTAGATCGGTGTTGATAGACTTACTAATTTTCCTAAATTATTTAATAATTATTTATTGAAATAATAATAATGGATTTTTATTTAAATAATTATGAAACAATTTCTAATAGATTAATTTCCTAATTTAATTTTTCTAAATTTTTTAATAATTATTTAATTGAATTACAATAATGGATTATTATTTAAATAGTTTTGGAGAATATCTTTTCATAGATTAATTTCTTAAAATTTAATTACTTATTGAAAAATAATTATGGATTATTAGTTAAAGAGTTTCCCTAAATTATTTGATAATTGTTAACTATAATTATTGGTTTTATAGAAATTAGTTAAATTACATTAATTAGTAATACCTTTTATCAATAAATTATTATTGTAAAATTTTAATGAAAATTTATTAAATTACAATGATTAATGTAAATTACGCTAAACGTTGAAATTTTGAACATTTATTAATAACCAAAAATTATTAAATAATGGAATGTTTATTGTTTTTTCGTTGATTATTAAATTATTTAATATTTTTAAATCATGGATTATTTCTGGAATAATTATTTCATAATTTTTGGTAGAATAGTTTTCAAAAATTTTAAATAATTTTCATAACTAATGGATTAATTAACAATAGATTATTATTTAAGAATAGATTATTTAACAATAATGGAAGATGCCATGAATATATAGGAACCATCAATTTCCCCTTATTCCCCATTCTTTGCTTGAAATCATAAATATTGTTTGATTTGGAAAACCAAATCTTAATAAATTATATCTCTATTTTTATCTGAAAGTGGTGAGAATAGTGGGGAATTGGAGATATAAGTGAAGGAGAGGATAAAACATATATTGAGCTAATTAAGGAGATAAGTTAGGTTGTTATAGAAAGTGAGAGACATGAGTTGTGGGGGCGAGGGGGGAGAGAGAGAACCCAATGGGAAGGGAGAAGAATGATGGAGGGTGCTAAGATGGCAAATTGGGAGTTGTGGGGTAGAGGAGAGAGAGTCAAGGAGAATGCAAGGTTAAGGTAATGGAGCAAGGAGAAGCAAGGTGACATGGATCGTCTTGCTATATATATGGATAGATACAGATAAATACATGAAGAAACTAATAATCAAGAGTTGAAGCAACTATCTTATCCATTATGATTTGGGCAAGTATTATGAATTGATTGGAGAGGAATGGGAAAGGAAAGGCATGATGATGTGGCAAAATAGGAGGCTTGGATTGGGGAAGGGGAGGAAAGAGAGTGAATGTGAGAACTAGGAAGGGGTAAGGGAGAAAGGAGAGAGACTTAAAGAAAAATGAAAGAAGAGGGAATAGAAGAAGAAAAGGATTGCTGACATGGAACTTAATGGCTATATAATATAATATAATATCATGGGACTTTAGCCCATGATCAATGGAATTTATCTCTTAGGATAGATTGGTGGTTCATCAGGATAGAACATGATGACCATTCCTACTTGTTCCACCATCTGGCACATTTTGAAAGGGCGTAACAAGTGTTGATTTGAGCATACAAAAAGCTTTCCTAAGTGTAATGATGCTTTCTTACCTTAGCCACTCTTTTAATTCTTGGTCATTGTGGGCAAGAATGAGCAAGAATGAATAACATTAGTGTGTTAGGTTACAAAAATTTTTCCATGGGCCACATTCTTTTTAGGATGAAAAGTTGAGGTAGCCTGCAACATGAAAAATAATCATGCCTCATCTTGCTCATTTTCATTCTTTGAGGAAATTCAGCCTAGAAAACTGTTGCAATAGATGTTTACTACCGGACTACCGTGGAAGTACTTTTATGAAAGCACTTTTATAAAACTACTTATACACGAAAGCACTTTGTGAAAGAATTTTAACAAAAACACTTTTACAAAAGCACTTTTATGTAAGTACTTTTACATGAAAACACTTTTATAAAAGTACTTTTATGAAAGAACTTTTACAAAAGTAATTGTGTGAAAACATTTTTATAATACTTTTACAAAAGTAATTTAGTACTTTTACATAAAGCACTTATCAGTCTGAAAAGAATTCATTTTAAGAAAAAAGCATTTGGTTCATAGCAATATTTTCTCATTCTACCTATTTTTACCTATTCTTTTCCATTTTAAAATTTCATCTTAAGTAAGAATGAGAAATAATGAGATTTAAACCAAACATGGCCTCAAATGCCCTACCTTCGCCTCCTGCATTATCACTCACTCCTCTTCCTGACCATCCACATTGGTGTAAGACCATCCACATTGGTGTAAACCTCCTACTGGAAAGATGAAGATTAATGTTGATGCTATAGTTGGAATAAGATTTAGTTTATTTACATGCATCAATCGATTCAATCCAAATACAATGCATGTGTTGCTTGGTTTCTATAAAATGGTTTGTTTCTAAGCTTTTATTTGCTATTACTATTTTCAATTTGTTCAAGATTATTGTTATTGCATCAAATTAACATAGATTTATAACGTAATATAAGTATCGGACGCATCAAATGGCCAACATGGGCATACATTCCCTATTTTGTATTAATCAATCTCGGGGCAACTTCGATCAATTTTGCTTTGGCCTGACATGTCTACCATATATCTGCCATTGCTGGTGTTATTATTTATCATCAGAATCGATTGACATTTTAACTGTGAATCCCATGCAAAGGAATTAGAATTTTAAAATAGGTCCCTTTGACTTACCAAATTAGTTGAATTATTACATGCATTGAATACACCATTATGGATTTATGGGGCATATCTTTTAAATATAATATCATTGTGGGACCCATATTGCTAATTTTACAATTATATTACCAAGGGATTCGACTATGATATAGAAAAGATATAATATCGGAAAAATAATTGACCAATAAACTGGAATCATAAACGTGATAGTGAATCAGGTGTTATTTATCAAAATTCATGGATGGATTTTGATTGGTCAAAATTCTTTCCATATCATATCTTTTAAAAAACAAAAAGTAAAACTTCCCTACCTTTACCATTGGATAACCAAAAGTGACAGCCTTGGAGATTGTAAGGTCTATAATATGAGAAAAACCATCTAGTGAACCTATCTACAATTCGCCAATTAACCAATTTAAAAGGGTATTCAGCAGCATGGTTAATTTTCACATTATTGCTGATTTCAGAAAACCGGTCAACAGGTTTGAAAAATTAGGATGTTGATCTTACTCAAATTAGCATATAGATGTCCTACAAGCGTCAACAGGTACATGCTGTAAAACGATACTAAAATGTAAAATTCAATCAGTACTATGCAGAGAGGTCTCCTTCTACCTCTCCTTCTAGAACACTGTCTTGAGAAGTCTGGATTGAAATGCTTGAAGGCATCTGTGAACCATCAAAATTTGATAAATCTTCAACGATTCTAATTTCCATTTTCTGTTGATCCATGGATCCTGTGATCTGTGAGAGATCTTTCTGATCAAAGTATTTTGCCAAGGTGACCAATCTTCGCCAAAAGGAATTTCCTGAACCTATATTTGATGAAATATTTCGATGCTTGTAAATGAAGGAAATTAAGAATATGAAGAGTGACGATGCCGAAGAAACACCTGTGATGAGAAAGAGGCCCCAAAAGCTACTGAGGCTAAGACTGTTTGAAGAGACTGTTGTACTTTGGTCATCACAGGTGGTTTGAAACCACTTCTGCTCAACCATATCCATGTTGTTTCCTTCTGTTAGATTCAAGATTGCTCTGGATACATAGGAAACTAAAGGGGAGCCCACTGGGAAAGCCTGTGAGGTGAGGACAAGGTATTAAGATAAGAAACACACAAAACAGAGGGGTGTGTGTGAGAGAGAGAGAGAGAGAGAGAGAGACTCACAAAGCCAAACCCATCAGTCTTGTATGTGGGTCCAACAATGGTGTACTTAGAACAATACTTTGCAAGGAAGAGTTTGATATAAGGAATTTCATCCACAATAGCAGCAACACCACCATTTTGACTTCCTTTGGACAAGGCCTCATCATATTCACTTGATGTATAGGGCCTGAGCTTGGACTCATCCAAGTTCATCCTCTTTAGGAGCCCTAATACAAAAGAATTTTTCTGGTACCCCACATAATATCCATTCTTAATCAACTCCTTTACATCAGTAATTTTCGGTTGCAACTGCTGCACAGTTAGCATAGATGTTAAGCTTGCAGTGTAACTTTGCATCAGAATGAACACCACAAACACCCATACAATCAACACGAACCTTGACAAGTTGTTTACCACCTTCTCCCCTAGAACCATCAAAGAAAACCAATTTTAGTTCCTGTATTTAATACTGTTAGAGACAATGAAAACTCAAGTTTCTTTTCTGAAAAACTTTTCCTGCTTTATCCACATGGAATAATGATGTGGCCAACCCAAATCTCCATCATAACAAGGAAGCTCTTTATTGTCCATTTCTTTACTAACCCAGTTGATGTCATCTGCTAAATTCACCATGTATTGCAATTTTTGCAAGTGTTGCTAACCATTGAAGATTCAAAATTTTAGCTTAAAATTTGAATAGACAATAGGGTTTGTCATGTAGAAAGGTGTGAGTCTAAAACTCACCTCTTGAACAATTAATAGAAAAGGGAACATATGGAGACAACTGCCACTTAAGTTCTCACAAGCAAGATCATTGGATTCCTACTACCTAGTGCATTTTTCCATACAATTCAATAAGTAAACTTCTCTCCTGTAATATTATACTAATAAAATAATAGGAAGAACCTTGGTATGGATGGTTGAGCTACGCTAGGTGCTTTCAAGTCTAGGCTTGTCCCTGTTTTAATTGAACTCTAACCTGTTCCTCCACCTAAACTGGATGACAACAACAATATATAATGCACACAATAGTTGTAAATCCAGATATGCTGTATGGAGCAGATTGTTGGGAAGTAAATAGAAAACGTGTCAAAAGAATGAGTTTGACAGAAACGCGTACACTGAAATGGATGAGTGGAAAAACTAGAAATGATAGGAGACAGAAATGAAGTCATTTGATAGAACCTAGAAGTAGATCTAGTAAGTGATAAAATGAGAGGAAGTAGACTAAGATGGTTTGGTCACGTGCATATATAGAGGATCGTCTATAGCACTTGTAAGAAGAAGCAGTCTATTAAAATTCAAAGGGACTAGATGAGACGGGAAGACCAGAAAGAACATAGGTCGAAGTAGTAAGTAAGAAATGATTTAGCACTCATAATTTAACAATGGATATGGCATTAAACAGAATGGAATGGTGAAACTAGATTCATGTGGCCAACCCCATATAATTGGAATAAGGCTTACTTGGGATAACGACGCAGTACAAACATCTACATCAGTAGGAAATACAGCATATCAGCTATTGGAAATATCTGAGAATCCTAAACTTAATAAACATATGAGAGGAGGAACTGAGATGACAAAAGTTTCTAAATTTATAGCTTTTATTTTTTTTGATAAGATCTGCAATTAGGCTGCATTTGGCATTCCTTATTTAAGGACTTATTTCCTTTTTGCAGTTAAAATGGCCGGATGAACACTTTGTTTTTACTGCAAAAAGGAGATAAGTCCTTAAAATAAGGAATGCCAATTGCAACCTTAGTGGTTTCCATTTTCTTGTTTAGGAAATTATTAGTCAACTATTATTTTGCTGTGTATCTACTGAATTTTTCATTTGGAGTCAACTGCAGTTTTAGTAATTTCTAAATTTATAAAATTTGAGGAGTCTACGTACACATGTAAATTTGTCAAGAGTAAGAGAATTGAACGAGATAGATTTTGTTTTCCTCTACACTTGTCCTTGAAATTAATGTTGAAGAAAGACATGATTTCTTCTATTCTCTGTTATTTTCTAATAGTTCTCTGTTACTAGAAGCAAACCAACAACTACTATCTGGATTTTCTCCTAGATTTAGTGCAGAAGTTATTGGATTTTGAGGCAAGGCTACCCATTGACCATGCCTTCTATCTACCATGGCAAGAACTTTTGTAAGCTTCAATGATGCAGAGAGAAACAATGACCAAAGAAAAGGTGAAAGGCATGACTAGTATTTCCCTTTTATTTTTAGATCTTATTGTTGCAGTATACTAGACCCCATACAACTTGAGGGGGGCATTTCTTGTTGAATGATAGTGTTGGCAAGCACAAGAATGAAATTCAAGTCTTAGAACAGAGCAGTCACTTTCTGTAAATAAAAAAGAAATAAAATTTAAAAAGACAAAGGGGAACAATTCTAGTCCTCACAATGCCCCTAATAGACAAGAGCCTCATTGGGTAGTAGCCCTTAGGCTCTTACATCTTAAGGTTTAATGGATAATTTGAAATTAACTACTGCTATAATTGAAGATTCAAAAGTCGCATCTACAAAAATTGCATAGAAACTAGGGTGGCCAGCTTTAATTTTGCATGTGGAAAGGTCTTGGGCTGAAACTTTACTCCATGGTCATAGGGTGGAGAAAGGACTTTCCACCTAAGCAGTCACAAGAAACAATTTCCACCTGAGTTGGGAAAAATCCTTCCAAGTCCAGGATTATCCCTATTTACTAGACCAAAATCCCGATCCTACTCCTAACTAAGATGGACCAGGACAAGCACTCTGACTTTCCACATTCCATCCTTACTCTATATTTTATTGTAACTTGATATTTATACTGTCCCCTAAATCTATATCAATGATCCATTGCCTTGTTAAATTTTCGGAGAATTCCTTATCACACTACCTTGTACTTTAGGGGTTGTGTCAAGTCAGTCCCCAAACTTCAAAACGTGTCTCTGCAGTACCTTAAACTTTCAAATGTGTCTAATAGGTCCTTATCCATTAACAGACGTTAATGGATAAGTGAAATAAAAGAAATACCCATCAGGTGTCATCTAATTTTCTTTATCTGCCGCTTCCACATAAACCAATTCAATAGCTGAGCAACTTGAAATGGTAGCGCTTCAGATGCGGTAACAGTGGCGGTGGAGAATCATCGTGTTTGTGAAGAAACTCCCTGATGTGCCATTTTATTGTAGTCCTTATTGTATTGTTTCTCTTATTTATTATTATTTTTACTTCAGCCGTGCAAGGACCTCTCTGTAAATTCTCTAAATTCTGTTGCCCTACAAGGGCCTCTCTGTAATATCTTTAATTTCATTTTCTATATAAAGGACCCTTGGGGTAGGGTCGAATCATCCATTCTTCATCTCCAGAATTCATTATTCTGCTCTAGGTATGGTATCAGAGCAGGCTGCTTTATAATCTCTACCCTTTTCTTGCTCATTCGTTGGGCATATTAGGGCTTTTGTTCTTAGGGTGTTTTGGCTAGTGTTAGGGCTGTTCTCTTCAATCCTAACCCTAGTTCCTGTTGATAGCTTCTATTTGGAAGGATTTCTGACTGGTTGTGTCGCCCAGATCCTTCTTTTTCACTCAGAAAATCAATGGGAACTGACAAGTCTTGGAGGAGTTCTAGTCTTCTCTCTTGGGCGGCAGCAAATTTTCATTTTTTTCATCCTTATGCATACTGATTTCTCCAGGGTGGCAGCAGCTTTGCTCCTTATGGTTCAGTTTTGAACAGCCACAGATTAAGGAATTTCAATAGTCTGGCCTCTTCCTCCCTCAACAATAGTTTTGAGCCTATTTTCTTTGGTTTTCTCATGTGCATCAAACTGAGGAACTTCAACAGACATCAGGTCCTCTCTTCAAGCTGATTTGAAAAACTTCTCATTTCAGGTTGGTGCATCTCCTTATTGTCATAATCGACTGTTATCAGTCCTTGAAACCCTAGTTTTGTGCTGCCCTAGGGTATTTTCTTCTCTTGGTTATCAGTCCTTAGAACCCTAGTTTGTGCTGCCCTAATTCTGTGTTGTTTATTGGAGGATTTTGATTCCTCTATAAAGTTTCTTACTGAAGTTGCCTAGAATTTGTCTGCATTTCATGCTTCAGCCTTGATTTTACTTTTTTGAGGAATAATGTGTTCGGCTGAAGTAATTCACTGCCTTGTCAATTGCTGATTTGAGTGCATTACCAACATCAGTGCTATTCTGGGTTGATTTTTGCTCATTTATGATGGCTGAAAGATTGACTTTCTCCCTATAAATTTTGATGGAACTAACAGCAATATGTGGAAGTTCTATTTCGATTTCAATGTTGAGGGAAAGGGACTTGAAGGTTACTTGAATAAGACTATATGCAAACATGATGAGGCTGAAGCTAATAGTAAAGCCTATACACAATGGAAGCTAGACAACGGAAAGTTAGTCTCCTAGATTTTGATCTCCATTGCCTCTCACATTAGTGTTCCCATGAGAAGACTAAAGTGAGATGTATGTCTATTTGAGAAAGGTTTATCATCAGTTCAATATGTCATGGCAATACTAGATTGAATGTGAAATCTTTGCCTATTGCCAAGGGGACAAAAAAATATAAGAATACTATTCAGGCTTAATTGATCTCTAGGTTGAATATGAACTAGTTCATATTGAACCTTCTGATCCCATTGAATGTGTCAAGTATTTATAGAAACATTTTGAAAATAGGAAAATTAACCAGTTTCTCATGAGGTTGAGACTTGAGTATGAAATAAACAGGTCAAATATTTTGATGTTTGAGTAGAGGAACTCTTCCAGACTTAGAATCTGTGATGGGAGAGTTGTTGAGGGAAGAAACTAGACTCCAAATTGCTACAAATATAGAAAGGAAACATCTTGATTTAGGGATTGATACTGTTTTTCTTGCATGAGGGAATAAGAAATCTGGTGGAAAAGACCCTTCTAAAACTCAATGCTATGAATGTAAAGGATATGCACATATAGCCTCTCATTGCAAAAAGAAGAATGTCTACACATATTGCAAACAACATGGACATATCATTCCAGATTGCCCAATTCGTCCACCCAAGGGACCCATGAAGATGAATCAACCACGAGCTTATCAGGCGTTTGAGGGGCAAGTGTCTAATATTCCTATTGCTAAGGGAGAATCCTCTGCTTCCATGAATAAGGAAGAGATACAAGAACTGGCATCCTCTACCATCTCATCTACCTTTTCTTCTATCGGCCTATCTGGTGAGTTCTCCGGTTATTTCTCTTCTCCCTCTCATGTTTGGATAATTGATCCTGATGCTACAAATCATGTGACTAAGACCTATCCTAAACCCTTAAACAGACTATCTAAGACCAACCATAGACATATTGTCACTACTAATGGTGAAAAACTTGACATCATTGGGAGTGATGACTTGTGTATCAAACTTTCCCCCTCAAACTCCTTGTCCCTTGCTAAAACTTTCCTTGTTCCTAAACTTATTGCCAACCTTATTTTAGTTGGTCAACTAGTTGATGGTCACATTCTAACATTTTCCTCTGATGGTTGCTTGATTCAGGACCAGTGCATTGGGAAGTTGAAAGGGAAGTCACATAGGATGGGTTGCCTTTTTGCATTGGAGTTTGAGAAATCTCAATCAGCATCATCCTCTGCTTATTAGAGCTCTTCTACATTGAGTCCTGTTTTGAGTCAAAGAAACTATGTTTGGGATTTGTGTCATAAACGCTTGGGTTACCCAAATTCTGAAATAATTAAATACTTATTTGAGTTTGGCTTTATTAAAACTAAAATTCCTTCTATGAAATCCTTTGATACATCTTGTGTTTCTTTTTGTTTGAGTAAGAGTCATATTTTACCATTCACTCACCGAGATGAACAATGTACTTTGCCTTTTGAAATTATTCATAGTGATGTTTGAACTTCATCTGTTGTTTTTTAGATGGGATACAAGTATTTTGTGCTATTCATTGATGACTGTACCAGGTACACTTGGATCTACTTTCTCAATCTCAAATTAGGAGTTTTTCTAAACTTTCGGTTGTTTCATAACATGGTTCGAGTTCGTTTTCAAGCGAATGTGCAAACCTCATGCTCAAACTCAAGGGGAGAATATAGTGACGGAGAATTTTTGGCTTACCTGAAACATCATGGCATACAAGTCCAACGATGCTACCCAGACACTCCTCAGCAAAATGGTGTGGCAAAAAGAAAGAATGGTCACATTCTCAGTGTTGTAAGGACTATTCTACAAGAATCACATGCGCCTCCCACATTCTGGATTGAGGCTGCTAGCACTGTAGTAATCTAATCAATTGTATCCCATTTTTGTGCTTGCAAACACATCTCATCATCAAAAGATGTTTGGATCCACCCCAGATCTTTCCCATCTTCATGCCTTTGGGTGTCTATGCTTTGTTCATCTTCCTCCTAGTGAACGTCCAAAGCTTTCAGTTCAATCTGTCATGTGCACTTTTGTGGGATATAGCCCTAACCACAAGGGATTCCTTTATAACGATCCCTCAACACATCATATACATATTTCTCAAAATGTGATTTTTCTTGAGCATATCTCACTTTTCTCAAGAATTGCCAAGTTATTTGCACCCTCTGTTTCAATTTTGCATGATTTTGAATCATAGGATACTCTATCATCTATTACTGAGAAGGATCTTCTCGTTTTCTCTTGCAAGCGGGTCCGTGTGATGCCCCAGTTTCAAATTCCTCAATTATTCCTCCGATAACTTTACATCATTTTGTTCGTATTTCTAGACCACCTGACCACTATGGTTTTCCTTCAAACCATAACTCCTTCTCTGTTGTTTTGACCTCTACAGATATTCCTCGTTCTTACCAATAGGCTAATAGCAACCCTTAGTGGCAAGAAGCCATGGATGCAGAAATTCAAGCTTTGCATGAGAATGACACCTTGGACCTTGTCCCAACACCTTCAAATGACTCTATTATTGGGAGCAAATTGGTCTATTCCATCAAGCTGAAATCTTATGGGTCTTTGGACCGTTACAAAGCTAGGCTTGTAGTGTAGGGATATATGCAAGAGTATGGTATTGACTATGAAGAGACATTTGCTCCAATGACCAAGATTACTATAGTTCATGTTCTTTTAGCCTTCTCTACTGCTTACTCTTGGACTATCTTTCAACTATATGTGAAAAATGCCTTTTTACTTGGGAATCTAAAGGAAATTGTATATATGAAACCTCCTCCTGGGTATTGTAGTGATCCCTCCCTCGCCTATTGGCTAAAGAAGTCCTATGGGCTCAAGCAATCCCCTTGAGCTTGGTTTGAAAATTTCAGAGATGTTGTAGTGCAAGCTGAATATAGCCAAAGTGCATCGGACCATTCTCTCTTTGTCCAGAAAAGACCCCAGGGCCTTACAATTCTCTTACTATATGTGGATGACATATTTTTGACTAGATATGATATAGAAGGAACTCAGGACCTCAAGTCTCTTCTCCACAGTTCCTTTCACATGAAAGATCTCGGCCCTCTTAACTATTTCTTGGGACTTGAAGTTCAACGGAGCTCCCGTGGTTATTTTGTCTGCTAACACAAGTGTGCCTTTGATCTTGTTAAGTTGGCCAACCTCACTGATGTTAAACGGGTTGATACTCCCTTGGAGCTAAATGTCAAATTATCCAAATCAAAAGGCTCCCTACATCCTGATGCTTCCCTCTATCGACAACTTGAAGGGTCTCTCATCTATTTGACCATGACTCATCCTCACATCTCACATGCAGTTCAAGTTGTTAGTCAGTTTGTCTCTGCACCTCGTCAACCTAATTTGATTGCGGTGCATTGAGTCATCTGCTATATTATTCGAGGCTCTTTAACACAGGGTCTTTTCTTCTCTTCATCTTCTTCTCTCCAATTGAAGGCCTATGCTAATGCAGATTGGGCTGGATGCCCCAACACACGCCGCTCCACTACCGGGTGTGTGTCTTCATGGGTGACTCTCTAATATCATGGAAATGCAAGAAATAACATACTGTTTCCAAGTCCTCTATGGAAGTAGAGTGCATGGCAATGTCATCTATTTGTAGTGAAGTTGTTTGGCTTCAATCTTTATTTCAGGAGTTGGGTCATTCCTCTCCTACACCCATTCCTCTGTATGCAGACAACACTAGTGCTATTAAGGTTGCCTCTAATCATGTCTTTCATGAAAGGAAAAAGCATATTGAGGTGGACTACCACTTTATCCACAACCTATTTCTTGCAAACACTATTTCTCTCCCTCATGTTGCCTCTAATATGCAAGTTGCTAACATCTTCACAAAGGCCATGACGAGGTCCAGACACTTATTTCTAGTAAGCAAACTAATGCCCATGCCTCTGCTTCAGTTTGAGGGGGAGTGTGAAGAGGCTCCCTAATGTACCATTTTATTGTAATCCTTATTGTATTGTTTTTCTTATTTATTATTATTTTCACTTCATCCTTGCAAGGGACTCTCTGTAAATTCTCTAAATTTTGTCGCCCTACAAGGGCCTCTCTATAATATTTTTACTTTCATTTTCTATATAAAGGACCCTTAGAGTAGGGTCGAATCATCCATTCTTCATCCCCAGAATTATGTATTCTACTCTGGGTCTATTGGCAATATTCGTTAATGTTGAGTTCCTGTAGTCTTCTTTTGCACATATGAGACCAGAAGCTTCAACAATTGATTAGTGTCTTGTTCCATATCCCCTTTCCTTCTTTTAACACTTAGACAAAATGGGTAAAATGGTCAAAAAAATACCATAAAGGGTAATTTTGCCATTTTGAAATTATTTAATGCACACCTAATGTCACATGATGGTGTTGACTGATGGTCAACTAACGACAAGGACCTATTAGATATAATTTGAAAGTTCAGGTACTACAGAGACACGTTTTGAAGTTCGGGGACTGACTTGACACAACCCCCAAAGTACAGGGTACTAATCAAGAATTTTCCCTTAAATTTTAATTCCAAAAGAAAATTGAGGCTATAGAACCATCAAACCTTATAATTTATTAGGCCTGACTTCATGGTTGTCATACTTCATAGCCAGTGTTCCTTGAGCCAATGTCTGAGTACTGGGCGCTATGGTGCTGAAGTAACCCATGCCATACTCCCAGGAAAAGCTCGAAYGACCTTCAACAAAAGGGTACCTGTACCCGAAACCGACACAGGTCGTGACCAAGAAACCACCGGTTTCACTTGGTGGGCCGGGAATGCTCGCCTCCGCTTCGACAAGACCCCCCCTTTCAACTAATCTTATGCATCTTTATTCTTCTTAATATAAAAGATTTTTATTAAAAATAAAGAAAAAATGAGATCCCCCTTACTCTTCATCCTCCTCTCAAGGAGGCTTATGCCTCCTTGTGTTCAGGAGGCTTATTCCTCTTGCGTTCAGAATTACGCCTCATTCCTCTAGGTAGTGGAATGCCTCACATCACGCCTCCGTGTTTTAAAACATTGTTCACAATTGTAACATATCCATAGAAGCATCCTAAAAGAAAATGACTAAACTTCAAAAAGAAGAACATTACCATGCAACATTTTTAGAACAAGTAAACCAAGTCAACATAATGAGTTTTCTCAAAAAGGCATCCAATCCACCAAAGAATCTTTGACATGGTAACTTGGCTCACAGGTTCACCTCCCTACTTGCTAGTCATGGAGTAATGGTACCATATGCAAATTCCCTAAAACTTTTGTAAGCCTCCATAGTATAGAGAAAACAATGAATAAAGAAGAGAACAAAGGCAAGTATTTACCTGGTACTTTTAGATCTTATTTCTTTAGTGTATTCCCCCACCCCCCAAAGAATCATGAGATTTTATGATTAATTTGCATCTTTGATGGGAAATTTCCAATACATGGTTATTTTTAGATCTTAATTCTTAGTCTATTAGACCCCCCCCCCCCAGAATCTTGAGACCTTATAGTTAATTTACATCTTATTTCGTGTATGTAGATAGATAGATAGATAGAGAGAGAGAGAGCGAGAGAGAGAACTTACTATGAGCAAAGACGAGTGTTGAGAAGGAGAACCAGAATATCATTCCAAGTTGCTGTCCAGGTGGGCCCCTGAACTCTGTGTTTATTCGGTGTTCAAGTACCCAAACTACAATGCCAGTAAAGATGAAGGCTAGCCAAATCGTCAGCCACAGATCCCAAGTCAAAGGCTTGAAAAATATCCAAGCATTCTTCCTATGATCATCTTTGATTGGTACTACCACAGCTACTCCTGATTCAGTATAAGGCAATGTAAAATCCACATACAATGATCGATTCGCTATGATTGTTACATCTCCCACCACAGCATCAAATTCCTGTTCATTCCAAACTTGAAAAAATAACGCATAAGAAATAAATGCAACAAAAGATAAAACATTCCTGGCTCTCAGCATGGTTGCAAAGATTGACTCAAATGACGTGAAATTTTTAAAACTAACCTGCAGACGGATTTGATAGAGGAGTTCATCGTAACTCCCTGCACTTTTTCCATTAGTCTTCATGAATGGAATAAAAACATAAGGGACTGCAAATGGTAATGCCTCCATAACAGCAATAAACACATCTATGGAAAACCCTGAGACAGTTGTCCTATTGGTAGAAGGGTCAAGGTCTACTTTGACAAATTCAGTAAAACCGCTTGTCATTGGAACTCCAACCCTCAGTTTGTTTCCATTTGTTGGAATTACCCAACCTCTTGGAATTGTTGCGGAGTCACCTGGCCAAATGATTGTTCGCAAAGCATCCATGGAATTTGAATACATTCTTTTACTAGTTACATTTAGTTCACGTGAAATTCCACTAGCTGGATTCCAGTATCCAACCAATCTCTCTCCTTTGCCTATCACATTGAATATTTCAAAGACTGAAGCCCGCAATTGTCCATTCACTAGATTGAATTCACCACTCAAACCTCTAAATCCAGTAGCTTGAATCATTTTGAGAAGTTTTGGACCCATTACAGTTGCATCAAATTTTGCAAGTTCAGTAAGGTTTTCATAATGCTTGAAGTACCAAGGATGCATAGCCCCCACTCTCTCTATTGCCATAGCTAGTGCCTGAACAGTATCATAGGCCCATATCCCAAAAAGGCTAAGCTCTGTTATTTGATTACTTGGGTTCTCTATATTCAATTTACTTTTCCATCTAAACTTGAAATCTTTGAGCTCTTTTGATATGGGTACATAAGGTCTTACACCCAACACACCTTCCATTGAATCAATGGCATCTGAATCTATTGGATCCAATAAGCTGGATAATCCATCTGTGACAATCCATGCATAACCTTCATTTATCATTCCTACTTCTTTGGCCCAGGTAAAGAAGAGGGATCCTAATGAAGCTCTCATATGCACTATAAATACCCTAGTTGGCATGTTCATTAATTTACTGAGCTCCATGAGAATTTGACTGTCATTGCCACATGAAGAAATGACACTCCTATATGAAATTTTAGTATCAATCTCCTGGAAGGCATCAACAAAATAAGGGATGATCCCACTCCCATATTCAGTATCTTCATAAATGAGGACCACTGCCTTCCATCCACAGGCTTGGATAATAGCTGATATGGCTTTAACCTGGACAGAGTCATCTTGGGCTGTACGTATAAAATAAGCAGTTTTTTCTGGAGAGATAGAAGGGCTTGTCGCGGAGAAAGAAACAATGGGCAATTGAAATCTCTGACCGAAGTATGCAACAAACTTTGCTTGAGATGATGTTTGAGGTCCAATAATTGCTTGTACTTCTACATCTTTCTTCAAGTCCAGGACTATTTCATAAAGCAAGGAAGAAAATATAGAGGATATCAATAATGGGAATTATACTCCTGGTATTGAATAAAAATGCATGAAATCATTTTATATATACTGATCTAACTCATAAAAATTTGAAGAATCAAAGAGTTAATTCATCTTACATGATTCAATCCTAGCGCTCAGCTAGACAATAGGGCATAATGGACATATACACACTGGACACCAGATATTCTTTCCTTTCCTTTCTCTTTTCTAAGGCATATATGTTGAAGGAGAATAGTAATCTTCCAGGCCTCCAATATGAACACCAGCTACTCTTTTCTATTCCTTTTCTCTTTTCTAAGGCATAAATGTCTAAGGCTGCATTCGGCATTCCTTATTTTAAGGACTTATCTCATTTTTGCAATTAAAATGCCTTTATGAACACTGATTTTTTAAATGTAAAAAGGAGATAAGTCTTTAAAATAAGCAATGTCAAATGCAGTCTAAAACTGTTAGACAGTGTATGCCCTTAGCTCCAATTAGAATGATGTACAATATGACATTTAATGTAAATGAATAAACTACATATTTGATTCATGTTATTATTGTGTGTTTCTGTGTAATACCCTTAAACTGGACACAATTGAGACTCGTGTTAGTTTAGAATCTTCACAGCCATTGGATAGATCTGGGGAAATTTATCCTGCAAAGGCAGACACTTATGTGCTGCCAAGTTGGTTGGGGTGGCTTGTCTCAGCTGCCATGATGAGACCTAAGGTACATGCAGTGTGGGTTTTCTTGAAACCCTGAACTGGACCAAAATTCCAGTATTGCCATGGACCTTGGAGATAGATGGGCAAAACTAGAATGTTACACCTGACCCATAGACTCGATTATGATACTGCACTAGGTGTCGGATTGGGCTGCCTTTGATATGCCAATCAGTGAGATCCTTAGAGGGGGTCAAAACCTAGGTATGTTGGGACAGTCCGAGAATTCATTTGAGTGGGTGATCATAGTGACAGGATCAGCCCCTTTGTCGGACAAAGTGAATGATCGGGGATGCACTYTCTCTGATGGAAACCTAAACTACCAGCAGTTAATTTCAACCGTTGAAATTTGTTTTGCAAAATATATTTATATAGAGATATACATATATATTATGGTTTCAAAATGTTTGCAAAAGGTTTTAATTCCTGGGATCCATGTGAGTAGAGAGTGCAGCACTGTACCTTGCAACCGAGGGAGAGGTCCTCTCTTGTCGAGCAGTGTTTAATCATTATAGGCTGAGAGGTTAAGTGTAAGACCATTGAGGGTAATACCTGATGGGTTAATCTTGCATCTGCCCACAGTCTTTGGGTTTTTATAAGGTGGTTTGACCCAATGACCATTTAGTGTAAATGTTGGGCCCATTAAGAGCCCATGGTGATGGACTCAGGGGTTCATTGTTTTTTATAGTGAATTCGGCTAGGCCTTATAACAGAGGTTGGGTTGAACCCATGTGGTTGATATGTAGATCAATTTTGGGTCCCACATCATACAAGGATAGCCAACTGGGCAGCAGTGAGGAGGTTAAGTGAGCACATAAGACTTAATGGGCCTAAAGCCCAATTCGAACTAGCTTAATAAGATTAATTAAAAGAGGGTGGTTTTGGGATTTAGATCAGCGGATAGGATAAGGGATTATCCCTATCCACTCAAAGAGTCCAGATCTAAATAAAGATTTGGAAGAGAGAAATTTTTGAAAATTTGCCCAACCTTCCTACAGGGTTTGGCCATCCATATGATGGATCTCTCATCCCTTCAGTGGTATTAGAGCCAGGTTCAAATCTTGAACCAAAATTAACTAGATCTAGATCTGTGCAAACGGGCAAAAGGCGTTCTACCCGATTTACGCAGATTAGCATTTTCTGGGAAATTGGTTCCCAGTTTTTGGGAGATTGATATGAAATTAAATATTTATAAATCTGATTTATATTTAGAATTTTTCTACATATTTTTCTTGATTTTTGGTTGTTCGTACGGTAGAGATCGAATTCTTTAATAATGCAAGATATCTATGCACCTGCTGCTCTTTTCATTCTTGGTCTGTAATTAATCTTTTTTAATTTTAGACGGAATGTATAGGAATTCAATTCTGATGTAATATTAATAGAAAACAGGTCCTTTTTTTTTATTCCATTCGAAGTTGAAGCAGATTGCGCAGAGGAGAGTTTTTTGCAGATATGGGTTCGGCCATCTGCGATTTGTAGTTTGGAAACTACATACTACGATCTAACTTTTGTTTTGCTGGGTAGTAGTCCTACAAATAGCCCTCCTACTGATTTTTGATTGTCTTGTTTTAGTTATTTAATTTCAAATCATTTTTTCTTGAATTAAATCTTGAATTAAGAATCAAACCCTAGACCCATTCGAACTAGATTAGACCAAATTGGTTGGACCGAATCTATGGTTCAATGGGGGCTGTTCTCAACCCTAATTTTTCACTCATGGGTCCAGGAGTTGATGGTTAATTGCAAGATGTAATTCATCCCACATCTGTAAAACCCAGTTTTAATAAGTTAAAACTGCTTTTGCCCATTTAAGCATAAAAGCTATATGGGCCGAACTGCTCTTTGCAATTCAGCCCATATACCTAGATAATATTAATCTGTAGTATTATGAAAATTTATGAGATTTAATTATGGGTTTTACAGTTATCTAATTGATTGGAACAATTATGTTTTTCATGCATGTGATGTATGGATGTGTGATGTGCAACGTTCATGGGCCATAAGTACTTGGCCCATGCTGATTTGATAATGGCTCTTGCGCACACCATGGCTGAATGCACATCATTACCATGGTGTCCTTAAGATCATTGGATGATCTCCCTTTATGGTGGGCCCCACTCTAGCTTCCTCCCCAAGAGGAACCATGCAGAACCCTAGCCGTCTAGGGCCCATCTAAATTTGGCTTTATGAAAGACAGTTGGAACCACTTTGGTTTGACCTAAATAAAACTAGGGCATAATTTTTCGTTCCTTCCTCTAAAATATGAGCGCATGTGATGGAGCGATTCATATGATGAACTCTCTAAAGGCCTTCTATCATTAACATGAAAATTGGTCCTTCAGTAATGAGGAAATGCACCATAAAATTGGGCTATCCATTTGCTACTGGATCTGTTGGATTGTTTCATAAGATGACAGGGATGTCATAGACCGATGTGGGAGGGGCCTATCCTAAAGTAGAAGACTCTCTCACGGTACCTTGGTGTTCACGAATAAGATGGGTGAGCACTCACTAGACAGAAAGGTTTACCTAAAATGGAAATGAACATTGTCTGAAAGAGGCCAAAGGGAAAGCTCATAAGATGAGTGGATATAATCCTTCACAAAAAGGTGGTGGGGTTATGCAACTGAAACAGTTGGATCCATGCACCCTATGTGATTTCCCACATTTCTAGAGACATAATTCGTAGTCTCCATCATTGAGATATGAGGGAAATCTTAGAGATGAATAAATGGAAGTGAAACATAAATTAAAAGTCAAATCTATGTTGATAACACGAATCAAATAAGGTTGTAGACTAATATTTGCTTTGCCCTTTATCAGAAATGGCAAACGGTTAATTCGCTAAACTGTTGGATGACAACAACCTTATGTTAGTCTTAATGTCTGAGAAATTGGACAAAATTGCTAAAAACCCTGCTCCGGATCGACCGGGTGATAGCGCTTCTGAGGCTAAACAAAGAGAGTATCAAGAATGGAAAGAGAAAAATTCTCTTGTCTGGTGTTATATAATAGCCTCTTTAGATAATTCGATATAGCGACAATTCAATAAGATCGAAGTGTCCAAGGACATATTGGATAGTCTAAAGACTATGTATGAGGATAAGAACCATTCTACTCGTCAGAAGGTCTTAAAGTTGCTTATGACCGCACAAATGACTGAGAACCAATAAGTTCATGACCATTGTTTAAAGATGATGGGTTATATTAATGAAGTGGAGGCTCTCGGATCAGGGCTAGACCATGACACTAAAATTGATGCTATCATCAATTCCCTGCCTCCCTTCTTCAATTAGTTTACCATGAACTATAATATGAATAAGCTAAATGTTAGCCTTTAGGAACTCAACAATATATTGTAGAGGGCTGAAGAACTGATTATGAAAGATAAGCCGATAGCCTTGCTTGTTGAAGGTGGCAAATCGGGCAAGAGAAAGCGGAAAGCTAAAGGGAAGGCTCAGAAGAAAAATAGCAAAGTTAAGAAGTAGAAGAAGGATAAGGCATCGGATGCCTATCACTTCTACAAATAGGCTGGCCATTGGAAGAGGAACTGTCCTCAATTTCTAGAGACTAAAAAGAATGGTAATTTCAAATCTTTTATCATAGAGACCAATTTATTGGTCACTTCTGCTTCCTGGTGTATTGATTTCGGGGCTTCAACTCATGCGTGTAACTCATTGTAGGGGTTCAAGATAGGCAGAAGATTGAGTGACAGAAAAGTGATGCTCTATTTGGGAACTTCTGCAACAGTTGTAGCTACAACCATAGGAACTATAGAATTAGTTTTCAGAGAAAGAATTATTGTACTAAAAGATTGTCTTTTCGTACCAAATTTAAGAAGAAATTTGATTTCTGTCTCAAAATTGTGCATGGATGGTTATTCTATCTTATTCAGTAATGTTATTACTATTAAAAAAATAACAAATACGGAGAACTTGAGAATGGTCTCTATGTTCTCCATCCTTCTCTGGAAACGAACCTTACCGAAACTGCGCTGGAAATAATCCCCAAGAAGAGGACCTATGATATAGTGAATCCCATGTGCCTATGGCATTACTAACTTGGCCACATTAATATAGATTGTATCACAAGGTTGGTAAATGATGGTCCTTTGGATTTTCTAACTATAGAAGATCTTCCAACTTCCGAACCTTGCCTTCAAAGTAAGATGATGAAACAACCATTTAATGATAAGACTAAAAGATGCACAGACACACTTGACCTTATACATACTGATGTATGTGGTCCCTTGAATGTTA